GTCTTGTCAGCCGCCCTCGCCTCCGCTGCTGCTCCCGCCCCCGCCAGTACCGTCGCCGGCGCACCGTCGCCGCCTAATGAAGGCCGTTCTCGCGTCCTGCTGTGCGCAGGTGGCGTACGATCCACGAGGCTGCCCTCGCCGCGGCGCAGTCGGAGGCGGCGATGGCGGCGGCGGCCGAGGCGGCGGCGGCCGAGGCGGCGGTGGAGGGGGCGGCGGTGGAGGGGGCGGAGCCGCAGGGTGGCAGCGGCGTGCGGTGCGAGGCCGCTTCCTCGCTCGCGGGCGCGGCGGCCGACGTGGCAGAGGGTAGCAGCAGCGCGGGAGGAGGCACGGGGGGCGGGGCTGGCGCCGGCGCGAGCGCGGGGCCGAGCGCAGGGCCCTCCGGGGCGGGGCGCGAGGGAGACCTTGCAAAGAAGCGGCGGAGGCTGATCTGAGTGGCGGGGCAGGCGCCTTGCGCTTGCGGCCTTCGCGCTGGCCCGGGTGCTGGCCCGTGGCTGCTTGGCGCTCGGTGCTGGCACGCGCTCTGCGCGTACTAGGTTTGGTGCGTGTCGCTGGCGGTGGGATCGCGCCCCCGCCCGCCTCGGGGCGCCCGTCCCGGGAGGATCGCGCACGCGCACACACACAGATGCTGCACGCGGGGGTTCGGGGGTTTGGGGGAGCGGGGCTGTGTGCGCGGCGTGGCATGCCCCGTGAGGCGTGCTGCCCGCCGCCGGTGTGGCTCTTGCGCTCGCGGCTCTGTGCGGCGTGTTGGAGGTCTGTCGGGGGACTAGGTCGGGGCGTCCGAGACCCGGTGCACGATGCTTGATGGATCATGGACATGGTTGGCGCGCGCCGTCTTGCGAGCGATGTGCTCTTTGACGTGATGTGTAACGAGCGAGCTCACTCGCGCCTCGCCGGCGATAAAAAATGCATTAATGGAGTTGGAGCTAAAATATGGGCTAGTGCCATTTCACTGAGACGCGCTAATCTTCTATCTTGAAAACGTCTCCATACTCCAAGACCAACGGAGTGACGAGTGTACGGAGCTCCGTGTTGGCTGTTGCTTCCAGCACCCTCCCCCCGCCGCGCTCCCTGGACCCTGCGGCCATGGCCGAGATGCTCCTAGGAAGAGAGGTCATCTGGCTACCGCGAGAGCGACCCAACTCGTCGACATCGTCCGATGATGCATGGTGCCGCAAAGTCAGCCTTCGGAGGCTATCGTGGGTTCGTGGGGTCGAGCCGGCAGTAGCCGTGACATGTGGTTCCACCACCCCTCGTAGGCTTTGCCTCTGACCGCCACCGTTCCCAGCGCAGGCTGCCTAATGGGATGGAAAGGAAGGCTCGGCGAGCGTATAGAAGCGTGCTCGACCTCGTCGTGGCAACCTGGGGGGGGGGGGGGGGTCATTCACAGAAAAATCCTTGGAGCACTTGGAGTGCAGTCGGTAACCTCACATCCAGGGCCGGGGAGCTCAGAAGCGCACCTAGCGGGCCGGATGATCGGCATCGGGTTACGGGCTAGAGAGCCCTGACCCCTAGGGGGGTGCGCGTTCGCAGGGAAAGGGCCGTAAAGTAAACACGGGTCTCCGAGGGTTAGTTCCGTGTACCGGGTTTCCCCTTAACTGCAGAACGCCCCCTCTACTCGGAGCTAACGGACACACAACACTGTACTCCACGCATCCTAACGAAAACTTCGCGTGTCATCGGCGCCATCGCGCCAATAGGACCACTCGCCCACCCGCCCACGCACGGTCGACTTGAGTGCTGGCCGAGTAGCTGGCTGACGCTAATGCTGGCGAGGGCCGAAGATACTGGCACACGCTCATCTCGGTCCTCTCCTTGGAATATCGGCCAGATGCGCAATAAGTCCCTCCTGTTTGGCACACGTGCCACCGAGTACTTGACAGACGGCTCCACGCGCCACCGCATGCATCCCCAAGCCCCACCACGCGCAGTCGCCGCTTTCGGCGTGCTCACGCCAGACCCTTGGCGCGACGTCACGACGCTCCTATGGGCCTCGCACTACCTGCCTACGGCAGCGGCAGCAGATGTGCTGCTCTTCCGCTACTTGGCCTTCGCGCACGAGGCGCCGCCGCCGGATCCGTCCAGCCATTGCGCGGGTTGCGTCGCCCTGCTCAATGGCCTCAAGTGGAACGTCCTCGAGATCGAGCGCAGCAAGCACCACCACACCGAAGGCAACCAGTGCGTGCTCAAGATACTCCAGTGGTTCGCGCACGCGATGCGCAACCCCGCGTACGCGCGGCTGCCGTTCGTCGGCTATATCGATCGCGACACGTGGCTCGATCCCGTGCGCATGGCACTTTTCCTACGGCGCGCAGCGACCGTCGTCGGCAGCCGTCCAGCGTACGGCGGCAGCTTCGAGCACGCGCACGGCTACAACGAGTCGAGCGGGATCCACACGGGCTACTCCATCGGCCCGGTCCGCACGGCCGACCCAATGCGCTCCTTCGCCTTTGCGTTCGGCGGATTTGTCTTCCTGAGCCCGCGCGCGGTGTCGCGCCTCTTCGACTACATCGAGCCACGCCATGCTCTGCTCCACGGCGTGACCCACTTGCGCGCACGCGGCAAGTGCGCCATGACGACGGACGTCTCGATGGGTTGGCTCATCGTGCAGGCATTCGCGCACTCGCGTGAGCTGGTGGCCGTGCACCTGCGCATGATGGACGAGGTCTTCAAGTGGACAACCTATGCATCCCTCGTCCCCGGCGAGACGCTCGTCGTGCATGGGATAGACTCCAACAGGCCGGACTTGAGAGACGCCAGGACGCTGTGGTTCTACGATGCGGTCGCGGCGCTGGTTCCAGTCGACCAGTACGCCCACGTGGCCAGCACCCTCACTTGCGTCGATGGCCCCCCGCGGAAGTGGAACATTGTCACCTCACCGCACGCGCGGCAACACAACTGGACGCTTTGCCACACGAGCCGTGATAACAAGCGCTTCCCGCGGCTGGTCACCAACCAACATCCGATCTTGCGCGAGGTCCAGCAGCTTAATCGCACGCGCGCGCTCACGCAGCTGACATGCACGGCTCGATGCAAGGCCGCGAGGATGTGTGATGGCATCGGTTGGCCTGTGGCCGTGGGTCAGCCGTGCCCCCCCAACGGGCGTCGTGCCACGTAATGCTATTGAGCGTCCCGCACGGATTGAGCTGTACAAAAACAAATAAAACGGACAACTGTGAGATGGGTAAAAAGGAACAGATCCCCGCCCGTGCGATCTTTGTGCAGGGTTCTTTGTGGGTGTGGTCGGCGACTAGCCGGGGTCGTCCTCCCGATGGGGGAGAGACTAGCACTAGCCGTCTTCCACATGGTCCCTCGGGTCCCTGCTGCTCCTAATCTCTTCGTACATCCTCCTGCTGATCTCCGCAAAGTCCTGCTCCCTCCCTCGTCTCGCCCTGCGCGTCTGCTCCGCCTCCACATCGTCTGCCCTGCGTCGTCTGGCGACGAGCTGTACGAGACTGTACGCGGCAAAATATAAAAAATCCCGCGGTACCTCTGCGCACCCGCGCCCATTCGATCCGAAACGCACACAGCCACACCCACACGGTAGCCGCCTTCGACGTTCGAGCTGGCGCCACACGCACCCGAGACCCGTGCTGCGTGCACAAAGCCGTGGGTATATGCCACTTGGCGAGACTCAGACGGCGAACCGCGGCGTGTCGGCCGACTCGTCCCGCCACGCCAGCTCGGGCGGCGGGCGCTCCGCGTCGGTGCTGGCGTGGTCAGCACAAGCATCGGTCGGCTCGCCGCCTCGCGCGCCTTCGGGCTCGGGCGGCAGGCGGGGCAGCGGAGGGGCCACATCTGCCGCTGGCGCGCCGCTCGGCGGCTGCGCGGAGAGGGAGGAGAGGGAGGAGAGGGAGGAGAGAGACGAGAGAGACGACCCCGCCGCGGCGGGCAGGGCGGGCTTGACGGGCGGCGCATGCTCTGCGGTGGCCGCCTGGGCTGGGCCGAGGGAGCGGCGCGAGGAGCGGAGCGTCGAGCGGCGCGCCGACTCGCGGATAGACTGCCGCCACGCCTGTGCCGCCGCCAGCTTCTCCTCCGCCGCGCCGCGCCGCACCGCCCGCGCCAGCTCCTCCCGCTCCTGCTCGCAGCCAGGCGCGGGCGTGAAGGCGGCTAGCTGACGCGTCAGGCCGGTGGGAGGCGCGCGCGAGAGAAAGAGAGCTGCACAAGCAGCGGGGGAGACGTGAGGGTGGGTGCGCAGAGGGTGCGCGGAGAATCTTTGCGCGTGATGAAGCGAGATATCTCGGCTGCTCTCCGCGAATCTCGCCACCTCGCTCGTGGTGAAGAGCCACAGCTGCACCGACTCCCACCACGACGGCTCGCGCTCCCGAAAGGGCGAAAGGGCGTCGGAGAACCTCGCGGCCCGCTTGTCGCCGTCTGTATCACCGCGCAGCTCCTGCAGCAGCAGGGAGTGGATGTCTCGAGAGGGGCAGCAGCGAGTTGCGCATTCGGCGAGTGGCTCAGACCAAACGGCGGCGATTGCAGCGGTGGTGATTCGGGACAGTAGCAGTGAGAGCCGCAGCAGCGACGAGATAGGCTGCTGGCCCTGGGAGGCGGGCAAGGGGAGGCGGCCGCACCTGCAGAGCCTCTCGCGCGAGCGCGTCGGCGCACGCGTCGACAAATGCCTAGCCGAGCCACAAGCAGTTGAGCGATGGCGGGGACAAGGAGGGGGCGCTGAGTGGATAGGTGGCGTCGGGGCATGGGACGGAACGGATAGGGCGAGGGATCCGCACATTTGGCGAGGCGCGGCCGAGTTGGCCGCGGACAGACTTGACGCCGACTCCGAGCGTGGCCTGCACCTTGATCGTTGAGTGGCGGAGCGAGCCGCGGACCGAATCACGGGCGGAGCCGCGGGCTGAGCCGCGGGCTGAGCCGCGGGCTGAGCCGCGATCATGTGCAGCGGAGGAGCGTGGGGCGTTGCTCCATCGCTGTGAGCGGCGGCTTGCAGGGTCGGCGAGCTGAGCCTCTGTCAGCGAGGTGACGAGCGGCCCCCAGCCGGAGAGCCAGGCAACCAGCCGGTCAGTCGCTGACATGCTCACCGCGTCGAGCTCCTCGGGCGGCGCCACCTCCGCGACCGAGTTTGCGAGGCGGTGCAGAAAGGGAGGCCGCGCCGTCGCATGCTCTGCGCCGCCTCCAAGGGCGATGTCGGTGGTGGAGCGCCGGAGGTGCAGCATGCACCCGGTTCGGTCGCTGCAGAGGTAACAAGCCGCCCTGCGGAAGCAGAGCGCGCGGGATGAAATTCTTTTTTGAGAGCGCCTTCGTTGTTAATAGTACAAACCCAATGGTCTCTTGCGAGCGGTCCGTCGTTGCAGTCGCACACACTCACACGCCACGCCTCACCGCGCGCCCACCCGCTGCCCCGCCCAGGCGGGAAAGAGATGAGGAGATGGGACAGCGAAGGAGGAGCCCAAACACGTATGGGAGGTTTCGTTGATGCGTCACGCTGCCCGGCGTTTCTCACTTTCCGGGACAGCCCCGCCCTTGTGAGGCAGGAAAGTGACGGCTACCCCGTACGCCCTGTCGCATCATACTCCATCGCCGACCGCCCATTCTCCCCTCCTCATTCCCCCCTCGAATGCTCCGGACCCCGACAAGCCGCCCGACGTTGGGCCTCTGCCCCGCACGCCCCCGCCCCTTCTGCCCCTTGCTCACACCCCGGCCCGACACGCACATACAAGGACAAACCCGGCGTCCTGCTCTCAAAAGAAAAAGAAAAAAGGGAATGAGGAGACCAGCGAGGGAGACTCCCCGCCTATGCAAGCCCCAGAGAGGGGCCGCCATCGCCGAAGCTGTGCCAAAGCATAACTCCAAAACCCGCAGCGGCCCAGGGGGCCTTGGGGGCAGCCTGCCGGACCGCCGCTGCACGGGGCTAGGCACCAGAAGATGAGTGGAATTGATGAATTGGGCCGTTGTCCGTGCCTCCCCTCTATACGTCAGAGTGGGACCTACGCCGCGCCGGGAAAGGGGCGCGCCCGGTCCTCGACGGAGCCGCGCGCCCCAAACGACCCAGGCGGCGAGTAGTCGACCTCGAACCTTCGACATGTAGTTGCCCATAGTTAGCGCCCGCCCGCCCCCCCCTCTGTCGCTTCGCAACCGCGAATTCACACAGCAGGGTCCTACTACGTGGTTACAACCACGCGCCCCTCAGGAGCTAAGGTAGAGTGGAGCGTCCCAGACGCCTCGGTGCCTCCCACCGGCGTGAAGACCATCCGGATCTTTCCACCGCGCCCTCCGGGCTGACTGAGTGGTCCCCGCGATGGCCCACGGTCCTCCGTCGCCTGGTTGAACCCCCTGCCTCCCTGTTGACCCCCCAGTCCTCGTACTCGACCATTAAATAAACTCAAACACACACAACAGCCAGGCGCGGACTTGACACTGACCCCCCTCCCTAAAGAAAAAAAATCGCGCACCATGCGACCTCCCGCGCTCCGGTTGCCATCGCCGCGGTCGCCGGCCGCGCAGTGCACTGTCGGCACCGCGTCTCTCTCTGTGATCATCCCTGCGTACGACGAGGCAGAGAGGCTTCCGCGCACGCTCGAGGAGTCGCTCGCTCACTTGTCGACCACCCGGCGCGGCCCGTGGGAGATCATCGTGGTGGACGACGGCTCCCACGATTCAACTTGCGAGTTCGTCGCAGCGCGGCTGGCGGCGGAGCCGCGGCTGCGGCTCCTCTCCTCCGGCCGTGGGGCCAATCGCGGCAAGGGCGCTGCCCTCGCCGCCGGCGCGGCGGCGGCGCGAGGCGACCTCCTGCTCCTCCTCGACGCGGACGGCGCCACGCCCCTTTCGGCGCTGCCCGCGCTCGAGCGGCGGGTGGGCGCGCGCGGCTGCGAGATGGCCGTCGGCTGCCGCGCCGCGGCTCTCGCCGCTCGGCCCGCCGCGAGGAGGCTGATGGGAGTCGTCTTTGCGGCTCTCGCGTCGACGTGCGTCCGGGGCGTGCCCGACACTCAGTGCGGCTTCAAGCTTCTCTCCCGCCGCGCGGCGCGCGCGCTGGCTCCCCTCCCGTGCCTGCGCACTTCGTTCCCCACCCGTGTGTCTCTTCTTTCTCTAGGCGCGCGAGCTCTTCCCGTCGCTGCAGATCCGCGGCTGGGCATACGATGTGCAGCTCCTCGCCCTCGCGCAGGCGAGATTGTGCCGAGATCGGCCGAGATCGCCCGAGATCACACGAGATCAGCCGGGATCACCAGAGGTTAGGCGCGCGGCCGGAGGCGCTTTTAGACAGGCACATTCCCCGGGCGGGCCAAACGCGGTTACCGATGGCCCGCCCCACCCGTCCTCGGCCGAAATCGCCGATTTCGGCCCCCCCGAGGTCTCGAGGCCACCGACGCGGTTACCGCATGGCCCTCAGATTTTCGCTGGGGCCGCCCGTGCCCGCTTCTGATCCGGTTTGCGCCCCGTCCGCAGGCCAGAGGCTACCGCATCGCCTCGGTGCCGGTGGCGTGGCGCGACGTCGAGGGGTCGAAGGTGCCCATCGGCTGACACGCCCACGACACGCCCACGACACGCCCACGACACGCCCACGACACGCCCACGACACGCCCACGACCTCGGTGCGCTCGTGACTGGCGACGCTGCTCACGCCGCACTCTCGGGTTCTCTCGCGTGATCTGG